ATCTGGTAGTCCTAGGCCAATGGTCAATATATACTGTAAGGGTAAATACTTTACTAGACAGGACCGTTTGAGTGGAATTGATTCATTAATTGATTCATGATTATAGAATACACAATAACTACTGCTGCAGCGCGAGTTATGAGCCTATTGGCTGCAAAGTAACAGTGCTAGATGTTGTAATTCACATACTACATCTATGCAGTAAATATTAAACCACTGTTTCAGCTTGACTTGTATACTGACTGAACGGAGCGTACACGTACCAGTGACGGATGGTTCGAAATTTCAAAGAAATAAAATAACTCCATAATGCAGTCAAGATTATCGAAAAAAATATCAAGTGCCAATGGCTCAAGGTTGTAGAGATCTGTCATGGTAAAAATTTAGCCAAATTTAAAGTAAATACCTTCAAAATTGAAAGACCTAATTAAGGGCTACACTATGGCTGAGCATTCGAGCAGTTTTCAACCGGTATCTACTGTCTGTTGTTATATAAGATGGAATATAATAAATAAATACTGTGGATGTTATCAATATAACCACGGTACAGATGTACGCTTGTACAGTGTACACATGCTAGCTGCCTACGTGTAAATTATACAGTATAGTATAGATAGATTGATATTCTGTTATGTCAGGTAGTAGCCTCCTCCTGCGTGTCTCTTTAACGTTCTACCTATGTGCGTTGATTCTCAATCTACAAATAAATCCACTCTTCATCCTCTCATCGTCTTTAATATCAAATATTGTGTATTTCAAGAAATCATCTTACATACTGTACTGTATGTTAGCGGGACGTTTGCAATCTACTTACTGTTTCGCAAACGTTCGCTAACATAGTGTCATAGGGCTCACCAAGCCCATGAAATGGTGGTGGCAAAATGATTGCAGGTAGCGCATCAAGAACAATATTAGACTACTATAGTCAATTTGGAAAATTACTATAGTAGCTGGTATCGGAAGGCTTTGTAGATTACTGTAGAAGACCGGTTTATTAAATGGTTGCATCGACTTGTATTATACAGTACTGTACAGTACATATGTAGTTCAATACGGCACGTATTCGTAGTGACAAGAATCCATTCTTGAACTAATCTACACTCTACAGGCTTGGTTGTTAATGTAAAAGCACAAGACTGATGGCTTGTGTTTGCGGATGGGTGTGGTGCTGTTAATACTGTACCATGCTTCTGACATGGACTACAGATGTGAACTTGTCACTATTTTAGTCCAGTTTTTCTTTCTTTCTTGATTTAGTTCACCGACTGAAAAGTACAAGCACTGTATGAGCAAGTCGTGTAACGTATACAGTAGATCTGCGCAGTCCGAATCAGTCGAGGTGTCACTTTTCTAGATCTAACCTGTTTACGCTATACTATTTACCTGTCAACAAGCTCAGAGATCGCTATGTAAATGAGCGCATCTCTTGCTAACGGTAGTATTATACCTCGTCTCTTCTCTTGTTATCTCTCTGTCTTTCTTTATTAATAAACATAGTTTTCTTGACTGTGAGTTGTACGTCTCTGCAAGTCTGCATACAACAGAATATATTACACAGTGTACAGTGTACAGTACACTCTAAATGGAACATTCTACTGTACAGTACATACTGTACTGTGGGAAATGAGCGCATCTCTTGCTAACGGTAGTATTATACCTCGTCTCTCTCTTGTTATCCTCTCTGTCTTTCTTTAATAAACATAGTTTTCTCGACTGTGAGTTGTACAATGTACAGTACGTCTCTGCATACTGTACAACAGAATATACTGTACTGTATTACACAGTGTACAGTACAGTACAGTACAGTACAGTACACTCTAAATGGAACATTCTACAGTACATACTGTACTGTACTGTGGGAAATGAGCGCATCTCTTGCTAACGGTAGTATTACTGTACAGTCTTTCTTTAATAAACATAGTTTTCTCGACTGTGAGTTGTACAATGTACAGTACGTCTCTGCATACTGTACAGTACAGTACAGTACAACAGAATATACTGTACTGTATTACACAGTGTACAGTACAGTACAGTACAGTACAGTACACTCTAAATGGAACATTCTACAGTACATACTGTACTGTACTGTGGGAAATGAGCGCATCTCTTGCTAACGGTAGTATTATACCTCGTCTCTCTCTTGTTATCCTCTCTGTCTTTCTTTAATAAACATAGTTTTCTTGACTGTGAGTTGTACGTCTCTGCATACAACAGAATATATTACACAGTGTACAGTGTACAGTACACTCTAAATGGAACATTCTACTGTACAGTACATACTGTACTGTGGGAAATGAGCGCATCTCTCGCTAACGGTAGTATTACTGTACAGTATACCTCGTCTCTCCCTTGTTATCCTCTCTGTCTTTCTTTAATAAACATAGTTTTCTTGACTGTGAGTTGTACGTCTCTGCATACAACAGAATATATTACACAGTGTACAGTGTACAGTACACTCTAAATGGAACATTCTACTGTACAGTACATACTGTACTGTGGGAAATGAGCGCATCTCTCGCTAACGGTAGTATTACTGTACAGTATACCTCGTCTCTCCCTTGTTATCCTCTCTGTCTTTCTTTAATAAACATAGTTTTCTTGACTGCGAGTTGTACGTCTCTGCATACAACAGAATATACTACACAGTGTACAGTGTACAGTGTACAGTACACTCTAAATGGAACATTCTACTGTACAGTACATACTGTAGGAATGAGTCATACTGAGTCATAGTGTACATACACTGTGCAGTACACAGTACAACACAGCAAGTCGTGAGTCATACAGTACACTACACTACAGTACAGTGACTATGGTCTGTACTGTACGGTACTGTACTCTACTCTACAGTACAGTGTACAATACGTGACTGGAACAATGAGGTTTGTACTGTACACTGTACACTCTACAAGCGGTACGTGCAACAGACTGCGCTGACTGGAAATCGCAAGAACAAGTTTTGTATGACAAAAATCATCAATAAACGACTTGCAGTTAGACCGGACAGTTGCAGTAACCGCCGATCCTATAGTAATAGCAAGGCGTAGAGACGTTTTCATCCATGATCGGTTTTTGAATTTTCTCCCTATTTTTATTTTGCGTGGTGCTAGTAGTTGAAAAGAAATTGGCGTTATAGGAAACATCTAAATCGCAAGTGTCATCCTCTATCGGTAAGTAAGTCAAGAGAATTAATTTTACTTTCTGATTAGCCATCATCCATGTCCATGTTGGATTAGTGCGGCGGCATCATGCACTTTGATGTGCTGACCGTACTCCCATACTGGGCGGTTGATTTTAGCCCACCATGGTATCGTCGAGAGAGGGTTCCGTTAACGCGCTAACCCCTCTCCTAGTCACCATGGTACACCGGTACTGGACCAGTGCGGGGCAAGGGATGCCATCGGGAAGATGGAATAGCTTGCTTGCAATCGAATTTTTTCATACCAAATATTCTTGCCTTGAGAATACTTGTAGCCTTGATTTCTACGTTAGGCTAGACAGTACTATATAGCGATGGCCTTGGAGTCGGTAGGCTTCCACGGTCGAAGGATTGATGAGTTGATCATTGGCAGCGTTATCCAGCGATAATAATTGATCAAGCATGATCGACGCTAGCCTATCGATGAATCAGGGCTGCAAGTTTGATTTTGGTCACAACATTTTTTTTTTCATGACTGGATGTTTTACGATAATGATATCAGAACTTACCATCATGTTAACATTACCAC